TATTTTAAAAGTTTNATATTATAATTTATGTTTTGGACTACATATTTATAAATACAGTAATATGTAGTCCAAAAAGTAGCTGAAGGGCCAAATGATATTTTTTATGTCAAATTAAAAAATAGTAGCCACATTTGGCACAATGTAGCCAAATCTTGCAATGCTGGAAGAAATACTAAATAAAGCTGGAGTTATGACTCCAAAGGATTATAGACCCAAATTTGGGGAAAGGAGGGAAAGGACAAAAGATAAAAATTAGTGAGAAAGGTTAAATAGATCTGTTTTGTAAATATGGACCCTTAATTTTCCAACCTTTCTCACTTCTTTATCTTTTCTCCTTTCTCTCCTTTCCCCAAATTTGTGCCTATAATCCTTTGAGTCACAACTCCAGCTATATTTAGTAATCCTTCCTCATTCATTAGTATTACCACCCGTCTAGTTTTTGCCCAGACAGTCCGGGAATCAACTCACTATTCGGGTGAACTACTAATTCTGTCTGGGAATATCGTGCACAACCTGTCGACCTTTTTGTTTTGTTCGTACAATTCGTATTCATACACATCTCCACTATCCAATAGAGCTAAGTCATCTAGGTTACTTAGGTTACTCCTACCCAAGTCCTCCCTAGTCCCTAACTGTAACTGATTTAGAACTGGCATGCACTGCACGTTATTCTTCGCATCGCAAAATGACATTGCACATGTGTCAGGAACTTCTGTTCGAACAAACCTCACCTGCCATTCAGGTCAGCGATTTTAAAAAGCTGGCAACACTATCATTCACTCATCTCCAAGTATTTGAAAATATTTCCTTTCCACTAAAAAATAAAATATGTATAAAGGTTTATGGCTTTGTGAAACTTCTTTTTTGAGTTTATGCCGTTGAAATAAAATAAATAAATTAATTAATTAAAACATTTGTTGGTTTTGTCGGTTTTATTGGGCCACATTGGAACTTGCCTTGAGCCATGGGTTGGACATCCATGGTCTTGAGCATCATGGTCTTGAGCATCATGAAAATATAAAGCATAATAGGTATGTATAAAGGTTATAAATATAAAATATTTATATTTATAACCTTTATACATAAACCTTTATACCTATATATATATATATAACCTTTATATATATAACCTTTATACATAAACCATAAACCTTTATACATATAAAATATGTATAAAGGTTTATGGCTTTGTGAAACTTCTTTTTTGGCCATGGGTTGGACATCCATGGTCTTGAGCATCATGAAAATATAAAGCATAATAGGTGTACTGTACAACAGAACTGGCTAAACAAGTAATAAAGGATAAGTTTAATCTACTTTAGTCACAAATTTTGCTCTTAAGATGTTGTGAGAACTGAAGAACACTATCTAGGAGTCTCTTTTCATTGCATTAATGTCACTGTGCAGCTTCCCCAAGCTTGATATACAAGAACTGTAGTTGGTAGATAGCACTGTTTAAGCTTCTACAGTTGTGTATTTTGTTTCATTAATGGCACTGCTATGTGTTAATTTACTGTTGTGTTTTGGTTTGGCATAAATTTTTATAATTTTTTTCATTGTGTATGTGCATTAAAAATTTTGTAATTTTATATGCAGTGTTTCAATTACGTTCCATGCTTGAGCATGAGATGCAATTTTGAAAAATGTTCTTTACCATTTGTATTCTGTTTTTCAAATAGTTGCATTCTGTTCTCGGTGAATGGTAATTCATGAAGGAAACAGTTAAAAACTGTCAAAGTAATTGCATAAGTAAATCTTTTGTATAGCTCCAATAGATAGTTTGTTGTTAATTTTGTAATATTTGGTATGGAGTGTTTTTATATTTTATAACTTTTATGTAAATTTGATAAACAATATTCAATAATTAATTTTTGCCTGAAGATGGGAGTTTAATAAATCTGAAAACACTTGCACATATGTATGAATGTAAAAAGATTGTTGAACAGATTTAATTGGACACATGAGAAGCAATTACACATTAGGAAGGTATTATAAAATACAGCACATATATAAATGAACAGTACAGATGACATATATATCCTCATCTTAAGAGAACAAGCAAAAAGTGATTAGTGAAGACCAGGTCACATGACCTTAATTAGTAGTACTGGTACTGTAATGATTTGTTTTTATACTTTATCCCATTAAAGAGAATTCAGAAATTTTTGAATAAGGATGTTTACATCTTTTCAGCAAGGCCCTTTTTTTATGTATGGGAAGAATGTATTTGACTGGTATTTACTGTTTATTTGATAGAACAATAAAACTGATGATATAAGAATGGAAAATAATAAGCAAGTACTGTAAAATTATGTGATAATGAATTTTAACATCTCTAAATGTGTAATAAGTTATGTAAAGCTCCTAAAACATGAAAAAGTGAAGAGAATTGAATACCATTAACAACTCCTGGGTGATCTTGTTACTTTGGATAAGAGAGCAGTCTGGATAAGGCAGCATAACACAGTGATCCTTAGGATGCTATCATAAGTGGACTTGACTGTATAACAATTTAGTGTTGAATTTATCATCTAACATAATAAAGAAAATTTTATTAAATACAGTAACCTATATCAAAATATTTTGGAATTTCCAAGTTGACATTTATAATTCATTTCCTTTTTCAGTTTCAAGGAAATATTTCCAATGAAATGATTTAAATTTTGCGATGTATTAATTAAATTATCCATATTTAAATGAATATTTCATTTTCTCAGCAGTTAAAATTGCTGAGAAAATGGGTAAATCCTTATGTGGTCTGGATCCTATATGCTAATTCCTCATAATATAATGTGCAAAATAAGTAGATAAATATGAGCAGAAATATTAAATAAAAGTTCTAATCAAAATGTTAAAAAAATTACAAATTCTATTTAAAAATTTTTGAAGTTGTGCAGTTAATTATTGTAAATATTGTTATCTCTTCTGATGACATGCCAAAAACTTTGTTTATTCAGTTGTAATATCATTTGAAAATAAATATTTAAATACATTAGAATGCAAAAATAAAAATATTCATGCTGTATTTTTTATTTTAAATGTACAGTTTAAAAACATTTGCAGTATTAATATTATATTATCCTTTAATTGTTGAATACTGGTAATTGGTATAATCACATTAAATTTCAAAAATCATAATTATAACCACATTAAACTATGTAAATTAATAGTTTAGACAAATATAAAATTAAAAACACTTTCACATTGTTTAAAAAAATAAAATTTATTTTTTATAAATTTTTTCTGCATAATAATAATAATAATAATAATACTTATTGAGCTATTATTTTTCAGAGCTGCGATAATTTTATCTGTTATTTTACTTCATTAAAAATAATTAGATTGCAATGAATATCTGAATAACTATAAAAAATATGTGCTATTATTATTAAAATTTACAGTATAAAAATTTCATAATTATCTAATATGATTACAATAGGTTTTCTATAAAACATAAACTTACTTGTTAGTTGTTAGAAAAATTTGAAAAATACATTTAATTACTTATATATACAATTAAAAATATATATATTGTTATAACAATAACTCAAATCAGTAATTATTACATATTTTTCTTAAAAGCATGACAAATTTATAAAATTAATATACATTAAAAAATTTAACAATAGTTAAAAAAATACAGTATTTGCTTTCAGTCAGTTTTTGACTCTGTTTTCCTTATATATGATGCTGCGCTCTACAATAACTAAACACTATAACTCTCTACAATAAATAGCGGAGATTAGCAAATATACTATAAATTTATAACCAACATTTTGTGTAATTAACTTTTTAAACATTTCTATATAAATACAATGTTATAGATATACTTTCAAGTTGCTAATTGGTTAATAAAATATGTCCAGCAGTATCAAACAGTAGAAAATTATAATGTTCTAAGTTCATAACTGAGGAATTCTAGTTAATTTAGATAAAAATACTTGTATTTGCTGTTTTCTTGTTTAATATTGCTGATGATTTATTTGTTCTTCTGTATAAAAAATATAATTAAATAATTTTACTGCATTTAAAATATAATTTTTTATCAATTACTTAATCACATTAGTACCTACAGATGGGCTAGAAGCTCAAAAGTATGAGTTTAAGTGAAATTTTTTGTCATAATCTCCAAAAAAGAAAAGCAGAGAACTGTACATGTTTAAGGAAATTTTGTGAATCATTTAATCATTGTACAGTCGTTATACTATAAAGTACTGTTGACTTGAATACAAGTAAATAAACTCAATAGTTTTAATGTAATGTATCATTATTATGTAGAAACTACATAAATATAAAACACCATTTATATGGATATATTTTTCTATTAACTTTTTATCTTCTAAACAAAATTTGAATCTCAAAGTGTAAAGCATATTAAACACAATTTAACCAACACAAGGAAACTGTTAGGTATCATTAAATTGCCATTTATTATACTTAAAGGAAAATGGAATAAAATTCTACAAATTAACAATTTCAGTGATTTAACAAATAAGAATTTTCTTTACAATTATTTCAGATAACATATGAACTATTTTTGCATGTAATTTAATGTACAAACAAACACTTTAAACATTTACAAACACCAGAGATAAACACATGGGATAGATTTTTAAAATTTACAACTGTTTAAATATTTCATCAGATTAATAAAAAAAATATCGTATAAAAGCATTTATTAAACGTTTATATTGATTTGTCATTAGTCGTTTCATCATTAATGGGAAAAAAACTCAAATGCTTTTTGAGAATGAAGCAACCATAAACTCTGTTTACATGTTTGCTGCTGGTATGACGTCACAGCGGATCAGCAATCAGGCGCAAGCGCAGTTAATATCCGAAAAGGATCTAGAAGTCGCGTGCTTCCGGAAAACAAAAGACAAACTTCCGGAAGTGGAAAAATCGATGTTGGAAGAGTTTTATTTCAAGTTATTGTTTCGGGAATAATAATCGAAACGGCTTGCGAAAAGGTAAGAAATATTAATTCCGTGTGATATCGGGCCGCAGACGTTGGTTGCCAGTTATCATATATACTGATTAGGCTTAGCTGCTATGGCGCTGAAAATGGTTCAAATGTTTTGAATTTGCTAACTTTTCCGTCCTAAATGATAATTATTCGTACGCTGTTAATGTCGAAACGTCTTTAATCTCCAATAATACATGTTTGGAATTGTAAATGGTAAGAAAATTAACATCGTTAAAGATTTTCAGTCCATGAGGATGATGTGTTGTGACTTTGCTTAATGTAATGATAATTCAAATTCCTTAAACAGTAATAACATGTAAATTGCTATCGAGATTTGCTCGAATATTGTACATTTTTAGCCATTTTTTTGCATTAAATACAAACCTGCAATGACTTCGCATTTATTAGATCAGCTCACATGTTTATTTTACACTGATTATATTTATTAATTCTCCATTTTAGTTCTTATGCTAATAAACATTAGTTATAATTACATTTAAAGATTTTAAATACATTTACATGTATACCTTTTTCTGAGATTGTTTTGGTTTAAAGATGGTTAATTAATCCTACCTGAAAATTATGAAATAAAAATTAATTATAATGTTTTTAACCTAACATTATAATTAGGAAGGTTTGTAATGAAATTGAAGTCAATACGTCACTAATATCCGATAGAAATTATCTTCGGATTGACGAATAAGTACTTCAAACAAAATCGGTAAATAAATTTAATGTGAAATTCGACGAACGTTTTCATTTTTTATTTATTTATAATCTTTATTTTAAAGGCCGCCGAATCTTTATACATTTTTATATTACAATTCTACAAGCAGAAAGCTAGAACTTCTGTAAATAAGTTTTAAAACACTTTTCACTTTTTTCCTAGCAAATTCTCTAAATAAATAAGAGAACTAACGCTTTCGGCTATTTTAAATGACCTTCTTCGGGTTATACAACATTGGAATGTCGGTGAGAAGAACGAGAGAGAATTTTGAATATGTTTTAACTGACGTTCCAATATTGTATAACCTGAAGAAGGCCATTTAAAATAGCCGAAAGTGCTAGTTCTGTTATTTAATTAAAGAATTTGCTAGGAAAAAGAGTGAAAGGTGTTTTAAAACTCATCAATTTTATATTTTTACATCTTTGTTGTTTTGTTGTAATTATTTAAAAATTTGAAATTAGTTCCATGCATTCCAATTTAGAATGTTGTTGGTCCAAAGTAGATCTCATATAAGATTGGAAATGTTTGCCGAATTTTACATAAAAATTATTTACCAGATTGTGGAGATTTTGTTTGACGTACTTAATATCTGATAATTTTCATTTTAAACAAGTTTGGAATTAAGCAATAACAGTTCTGCATATTATCAGTTTTTTTTTTTAATTTTTGAACTTTGTAATATTTTTCAGTTGTAATTGATGATTTTACATTCTAAAACAATTTTGTTAATCACTAACATATTCTTGTTTACTCTGCATGCATCAGTATTTGCTCATGACAAGCATCTAGTTTAGAACACTAATACAAGCAGTGTTTGCAGTATTTTATTTTATTTTTACTGAATTATTCTTTTTAAATAAATAAAAAAAAATGCCTTGTGTACTTATTTTATGTAATTACCAAGCATTTTTTAAAGGTAAAAATTATATACTGTATTTAATAACGTTGAAAGTTTTTTAATAAATAATTTATTAATTTAACACTCTATAAAAAAAATAGTAGTTTTGAGAATTTTTTTATTTTTTTTTATAATAAATGTTCAGTTAAATATTACAGACGTTTACAGATTTCAATTATATATATTCTGTTGCAAACTTTGTAACAAAATAAATGTATTAAAATAAAATTAATTATGGCACTTTTACTTATTATGACCTTGAAATATTATTTATCAAGAATTATTTCGTGGATAATGCTTTAGGTTTGTTTGAGACATTCCTGTTGTCTATATTAGTGCAATATAAATTATTCTTATATATTAAAATTAATAAATTCTAAAAATTTTTTCGTTTAAAAAAACCCTTAAGAACCACAAGTGACGTTCACTCTTTAATTCCGACTTCGATAGAGTTTAAGAAAACAGAGAAAACCAGAGAATTATTTTCACTATTTCTTACTTTATTATGTCGCTATTTTAGCCTCTTCAGTGGATATTTATATATCCACTGAAGAGGCTAAAATAGCGACATAATAAAGTAAGAAATAGTGAAAATAATTCTCTGGTTTTCTCTGTTTTCTTAAACTCTATCGAAGTCGGAATTAAAGAGTGAACGTCACTTGTGGTTCTTAAGGGTTTTTTTAAACGAAAAAATTTTTAGAATTTATTAATTTTAATATTTGTCTACACCGATCCCATTGTTTTTATTATTTATTCTTATATAATTTAGATAGAAAAACATTGTGGTTTATATTTGATTATCTTTAGTGGACATTATGCAAGTTCATATATGATTTACCAATTGCCAATGATTATCAAAAATATTATAAAAACATAGAATAATTTTAAATGTGAAACAAGGAATAAAGACTGATATTTTATTATATTGAGGATGAACTAAATCTGGAGATTTATTTTAATAAGAATTTTTACGCTGATTAAAGCATGTTTTGGCCTTTTGAAATGGATTTTGGAATTAATTTGCTTTAAAAAGTAGAATAGGAGAATGCACAGCTGGTTTAATACATTGTATAATATAAATCTGCTTTCACAATAAGAATGAATCTTGTCATACATGGCATAACAGTTGTTACATTATATTTGGCAAACTTTATTTTATACCCACATTTGAAAATGCGGGATTTATGCTTATAAAACATGGAAAAAGAATCAATAGCAATTAAATATTTTAATATACTGATGCAAATTTATACTTTACAAAACAGGCGAAATTACTTTTATGAATTTATTAATTAAGACAATAATAATATGTTTTAGAATATTGTTTAAGTTATGGGAACAACATTATAAATTATATTGATATTGATATATAAATATTTTTTAATTTTTATCGAAATATTAATATTCTAATTACATTAAATAAGTATATCCTAATAGTTGATTTTTCCAGCCATTGTTATGCTTTAAATCAGTGGTGGGCAAGCTGCAGCATTTGTGGCCTGTAAGATAATTTTCTATGGCCCACGAACAGTTATAGAGCATTAATGCTATTGACCACCATCAAAAAATCAACTCAATTTATTTAAATCTATTTTTTGCATTTTTATACATGAAGCAAAATTTTCTGCAATATATATTTTAATTTATAGATAAAATGAATAGGGAGAAAATTATATGAAAACTAGCAAACCCCTTAACGTGTTGTTGTGGCTCAAAATGTATCTATTATAAATGTATAACACTTCCCCCATGGGGGGGGGGAATTTTTCGAAAAATTTCTTCTTAGTGTACATTCTCTTGACGTACCCTATTAAAACGCAATCAAAAACATAAAAACCTGCATCTAAAATAGTATAATAGAAGCCAAGTTCTTCATGGTAAGCCTTAATCCTGTCCCTTCCTCCGTGGGGGGAATATCGAAAAATCCCTTCTTAGTGTACATTCTCTTGACGTACCCTATTAAAACACAATAAAAAATGCAAAAAACCACATCTAAAATAGTATAAATAGAAGCAGAGTTCTTTACGATAAGCCTTAATCCTAACCATCTCTCTTCAGTGGGGGGGAATTTCGATACGTATACTGTATTATATAAAAACACGTGCGTATTCGAATGCAGCGTTGTGTGAAATTTTCAAAGGAATCAGTAGGAACAAACGAACATTACATTTTTATTTATATAGATAGATAGAAGATGACCTGCTTTAGCTCATATTCACAGAAAAGCATAATGCCTCACAGAAAAGCAAACTTAGGGCGTCGTACTCATAGCGCCATCTGTTGGACACAAAAACCTTAACCCAGATTATATCTTTTAATTTATATGAATGTTTAACAGAATAATATACAGCCTATGTCCATCCTGAAGTTCCATTCTAAATATTGGTGAAAGAATATTTGAAATCCGATGAGTAGTTTTGGAGATTACCCGCATCCAGACTTACAAACATTACCTCTTTATAATATTAGTATAGATTTTGGTACTTTGAAACCGTGCTAGTAGTTATTAGTAGTAATTCAAACACAAATTATTATTGTATTTATTTTCAGGCAGTTGATTTTGATGAAAGACAAATATGTCAATTTTATTCAAATACAAATTATTATTGTATTTGAATAATAATCAAATACAAATTATTTCAAATACAAATTATTATTGTGTTTGAATAAAATTGACAAATATGTTAATTTTATTCAAACACAAATTATTATTGTATTTATTTTCAGGCACTTGATTTTGATGAAAGACAAATATGTCAATTTTAGTATTGTTGTAAAATTAATTGTAAATGCATAAGAAAAATTTGAAATTGTTTAAATTTTATAACAGTGAAAAATAGATAATTAGGTACGTACTTCATTGTATTGTTATCATGTAAATGTATAAGAGAAAATCCATATAAAAAAGGTTTTTAAAATATTTTAGATAATACGAAACCGTATGTTTCTTAGATTAAAGTGTGTTAAGGACCAAGAAGTTTTTGTAATTCCATAACAACAAGTAAACATAGGCGATGGAAATTTGTGGTTTTAATATCTTGATAACCTGTAAATTAAAAAGGTATGTTTTTAAAAAACAATACCTAATATGTTTGTTGTTTATAATTTTATAGTGTTGTAACTTATAAACTTTTGTTTTTAGTTGGCTGAGGAGGGGCAATAAATACCCAAAACGTGTGTAAATAATATCAACACGTATCAACTAAATAAAATTTGATGATAAAAATTGCCAAGTGCCTGAAAATAAATACAATAATAATTTGTGTTTGAATTACTACTAATTAGTATAGATATAATAAATTAATTTTTATGGGAATATTATTTTATTTATTTAAAGGTTAATAATACTGAAAGACATCAAAGTTTTTTGATAAATTTTGAATACAGACAATTTTAGTAATGGCAGTACTGAAGAGAAAATGATATTGTATTTTTTTTAAAGGTGATAAATATATAGTTTTGTCCTACTACTAAATAACTATTATAATTTTATTGACCAATATGATTTTAAGAATAAACATTTCTTTCAATAAACAGTTTATAAACTGGATTATAATGTAAAATGTGTCCACCAAACACCAAAACTCC